GATGAAAGCTTATGAGTAATCGCGGAGCCGACTGAAATAAACTGCAAGAGAACAGAATGAAATGAAGTTATGCTAATGAAGTTCTGCGGAACACGACTTCTGAAATCCGCCACTAGCTGCCACATTTGTAATGAAACAGGTATACAGGTTATTGATATTGCTCACATGAAGTTTGAAGTGTAACTGATAGTGGAAGATCACTGTCTTTGTCAGTGATGTCATTAACAAAATCAAATGAATTCGTTTGAGGGAAAATTGTTAACCACTATTAGACTTCATCCATTGAGGTTGTATAGTACATCTGCAGTAATTCTGTCACAAAACCCACCATAAAAGTTATCTTTCGTTGGCGGAGTACTCATACAAGTTAAACTTTTTGTGAAGTGTGGAAACAATAATTACTAAATTACTAGCTTGACTCTCAACCGAGTGATCTGTTAGGCCCAGTTGTTGTTAGCCACGTCTTCATTTCACTGTAATCGAGACTTTTTCCCAGCTGTCAAAGGGAATGAGCAGTACTTTGACATTTCCTAAAAACATTTTAATCACACTACTTGCACAACTAATTCTTCTGTTATGAACCCAACCTAATCTAATATTACTGATGTGGAGTTAAAATCCTGAATCTGTCTTCTTAGTCCACTTAAGCATTATGATATAATTTACCAAATACAATTTAATGGGTGTATAAATCAACTGCATAGGTCAGAATATATGATCGGAGTCAGTTAAATCAACAGAAAATAGTAATTTAGCCACTTTTACATTGACTGACCCTGATGAATAAACTTATGTAGGTAAAACTTTGACTATTGCTATGCATGCACTTACATATGACTGACTGACTGACTGCTTTCAACGTGGAGCAGATGTGCAGCAGTTTGAGTTACCACACTCCATCTTTGTAGCACACAAAGCAAGAGAATAGAGTAAAAGGATGTTCAAAGGAGAAATAACAAATCGAAGTGGTAGACAGAAGGAATAGTAACACGGAAGAACAATAGACTTTTATTGGATAGTATTAGTCACAAAGAGTCAATGCATCTGCGCTAGCCAGACTGAAAACAACGTTTAGCCATATCACGAATTGTCTTCAGCCTCCATTGGTTTTTACCACCCCGAGAAACCCAGCCATTAAGCCAGTCTACACCTTCCCATGTGGGTGACTTAAATTAACTACTGTGGATTTCATTGACTGATACGATGTTTCTGTTTGACCATCAGTAGCTCATTTCCAGTCTATTCGATCCTATTTCAGATAACACCACCCGTTGTTGAGGAATATGATGGCTAGGCATGCGTAACACATATCCTAGTCGTCTTAATCAATACAGATACTTCACAGCTTCGCCGATTAATTGCCCCTCCTTACCTAGCACTCGATTGAAGCCTGACCTCAATATTGCTCACCCTATTATACCACCACCTAACACGGGAGATGGAGCTCAGGCAACCGTGATCACAGACAGCTAGCTGGTCTTTTCATATCTTCCACTTTCAGTGACCATGTCTCACAGCCATAAAGGAAGAGGAAGCGAACAGCAGAGCAGTACACACACCCTTTAGTCGACAGCCAACTAGATATCACGAATAAGCCAGAGATGGCGTAAATGGGTGGGATGGGGTAAGAGTTTCAAACGTAAATATTAGTAAATAGAGATAGGGAGAGAGGTTGATCGCAGAATATTTTTCCATCGAGTCACTGTAAAATACATGCAGCAGAAATGACTCAACATCTGTCGGGACATATTGAAAATCTCATTTAAAAACAGACCAGATTAATTCTATACAAAGCAAGTTATTTATTTATTTGTTTATTTTTGATTACAGCTTGATTCCACACCGTATTTTTGGGACAAGTGTGGAATTTTCAGCGTGGATATCGGTAGCCCTAAATTCGCAGGCCGACCATAGATATCAGGTGTGCGTCGGCGTGAGCTCGAACCCTGGACCATGTGCATGGTCGGCGAGGGTCCTAACCACTGTGCCACCGACGCAGGAAGTAGTGTGAAAACATTGATGTGAATATGAGCAGTATATTGTGTACGGATCGTCATCCAGCCATTAACGCGACATCACCGTTTGCTATATAAAACAAATTTCAAGTGTTGGTTGGTAGGGATTTGATTGGTTTCAGGATTTCATCATGAGCTGACATTAGTTAGAGAACCATTGAGAGAGAGAACCATTCCTTCAACTGAATTAATCTGACTGATAATTAGCTGTACCAATAGCAAGTACACTATAATTCCAACAAATTTTGTTTTGCCTTTGTATAAAACGAATTGATATACAAATTGAAGTAGATTATTAAGTTTGAAGAGTCCCAAACTAGGACGAAACAGCTCTCCAGTACTCCCAGGTTTTCCAATGGTTCTCTAACTAATGTCAGCTCATGATGAAATTTTAAAACAAATCTACCTGATATAGAATATTTCTCTGAAGGATGTTATGCCTGAATGCAAAGCACACTCCGAACTGATTCCTATTACAATTTGACATCAAATTGCCGTCCAAGACCCCGAGCAGAAACTATCCTATCCATCTTGGAAAAAATGTTTCATCACGTTTGATTCGCACATATTTCTACATTATTAACGATTGTGCTACCAATATGCACTACTATGTGCCTAAAATGGGCAACCTTTCAAATAAAACACTCCACTGGCATTTCATACTATAAATTGATGGATATAGGGAAAACAGACCATCAGTCATATGCATAAATGATTCTACCTACAGCATCAAAAATGCATAAAATTATTGATCATAATAGCTTACAGCAGAAAATGCTGCACAGATACGAGTCGAACTTAGTTCAAAGTAATTCTGTCCACTTTATCCACCCATTTCGACTTCTAGTATTATTTCCTAAGACTTTCAGAATTACATAAACTATACACTATGTTGCGGTTTTATATTATTAATAATTTTATTCACCACTGGTGTTAGACAAACAGGGATTCAGGGAAGAAGTTCTCCTTTCAGTCAGTTATATTAGATTTATAAATCATAATTTATTGTGCGACTATGCCATGGCATGAATAGCATTATTTGATGTTACTACAAGATTACTCACCTTAACGTGGTCACCTACTCTAGATTGTGCGTCGGTGGCACAGTGGTTAGGACTCTCGCCGACCATGCACATGGTCCCCGGTTCGAGCCCACGCCGACGCACACCTGATATCTATGGTCGGCCTGAGAAATTTGGGCTACCGATATCCATGCTGAAAATTCCACACTTGTACCAAAAATACGGTGTGGAATCAAGCTGAAATCAAAAATAAATAAATAAAATAATTAGGTAGACTGCCATGATGCTATATCTTCTCTGGCCTCCAACAAATGGTTTGGTCTGTTATTGTGACCTCAGAGCCATTACATTATGTTTAAAGGCTATACAGTGTTAAGTCAAAGAGTTCATTTAATTCTGGTCTACCGGTTACTAGAGCATAATTTATTACAGTGTCCAAAATTTCCACATGAGCCTTCTGGAATAAACCATATCTAATACCAATGATAAGTGAGACGCATATAGAATCTCAGTATTATGTTGTGAGGAATATAAATTGACTTATCCATAATACAAATAAGTATTTTGCTTATGAAACTGGAGTACCTCATAACACATCATAACAGTCATCGGTAGATATATCCCATGTTAAAACTATCACATTACAGAAGCCACCATGAAAAAGAATCACTATCAAACTTAGGAATGCAGAAACAAACTAATATCAACCTTAGAAACCTGAGTACCTTTTTTAATCCCTTTACGTCCCCAGTGGAGCATGGGGCTTCAAGCTAGAGGTAGCAGTGGTATTTATTTTTTTTTCATGGGAAAGGTTGCTAGCCCCATACCCAGCCCAACCTTCCCACTTTACCAGTTTTATTGCTCGTTTAGCGAAGTAAAGGAGTGCGTCTGTGGCCGCGCGTCGAACGCCGGACCACATGAGGCGTGTTTGACGAGCATTCTACAGCTGTGCCTCCGACGCACTAGAAAACTGATTAGTTAAAAATTATACATCTCAACCTTTACTTCATTTTAGTATACTTTCAGGTAAATCTTGAGCGAAGCATTATTTAATACTCATTACTTGATAAAATACTGTACTCGGACCGATCAGATACACTATAAAATGTTATTATTAGATCAGTGAAAGTCAAAAAATGTTATGATTTTTTGATTTACAACAAAATACGTTTAAAGCAAAATAATAATAAGATTCCAGATTAATTTGTTTACTAGATGTCACACAGTAAAACGTTACCCGGTAAATGACTCATAATTCAGACAGAACTACTTATTACCACATAGTTTAAAAACTGATCCTAAGCATCGTAAAAAGACAAGTTGAACATACGGTCAGTTACTCCATATATCGTTTAGCTCCTTCTTCTCCTTGGTGGAACACTGGGCTTTAAGCTTGAGCTTTGAAGTTTTAGTAATGGCATTGAGGTTTCCAGCCTCACGCCACACCCTCCCCGTTTGTCAGGCATACAACCAACTAAGGCAGGTAAAGTTGTCCGCCGACCAGGAATCGAACTACCGAGCACATGCATTATCGGCAAGCATTCTACCTCCAAACCGCTGATATACGATGTAAAATAAAAACCAATTGCTAACAAAACTTCAAAGTACATTGTTCAAAAACAATAACATCTTGTACTGTTTTCATTTCTTAGCCTTTTGAGTGGAACAAAGAGCATCAAGCTTCAAATGTGATATGAATTTTCATTCGATATGGCATTATTTGCCCAAAAATGGGATCGTTAGCCTCACGCTGTTTATTTTCTCGGTTTACTACTTACTGTCTGTTAGTATGCTAGGCAAGATTTAGGAATGTGTTGATCGGAAATCGAAGCTAAATTACTCGCATGGTTGATGAACACTGTATCAAACAAACTGTTGCGTAATCATAAACACGTCAACCAATTAGAAAAATGAATAAACTTTAAAAAGAAAATGGAAATGAAAATGATATACATTAACTTACAACCATCGTATTCCTTCAACTGAATTAATCTGACTGATAATTAGCTGTACCAATAACAAGTACACTATAATTCCAACAAATTTTGTTTTGCCTTTGTATAAAACGAATTGATACACAAATTGAAGTAGATTATTAAGTTTGAATTCAAAGTACATGTTAACTATTTGTTATTATTATTATTATTATCGTCTTCTTTATACGTTAAAGATGAATAAGTCGATTGTGCTGAATAGTACTCGATAAGAAGATTTGATCAATTACTTTTGAATAATATATAAATGTATATATAATAAATTGTTTCTTGTTTTAGACTAGTAGTAATATGTCCACACATTTTATAAACAAATATTCTAAGTGTATATATTATTGTTGTAATAACATTGTGTATAGTAGATTGTATATTTCTGTATTTCTGCTCTGTACTGTAGCATATGAGCTGTTCGTAAATTATAGAGTAGTATTAATAATAATAATAATAGTAATAATAGTAATCTAGCGTTGACTTCTTTACAAGATAATATGCAATATCATATTACAAGTAATTTTTGTTGCACAGATTCATAATATATTTGTATGCAAAGCACTCATTCACTCACTTACTCGCACACACATGCGCACAAGCACCTACACACACAGATACAAAGATGAACGTACAAAAGTGGAAGTATCTGCAGTCTGTCTACTGTATAAATTTTATAGCAGTTGGTTATAATTTTTGAGTGAGACAATCAGTTTTTCTCCAGTGAGAGAAATGGAGAGAGAGAGAGACTGAATACTAGTCAAGCCTCAGTTCCAGGTTAATGGAATGTTTTTTGTTTAGCCTGTACGTATAAAGTATAACATAACAATAGTTATAATGTGATGATGAACATCCCTGTAACTTTTTTCGTTGATGTTGATATTGTTGTTTGAAGAATGTACAATTGTGTGTGCTTGTGTGTGAGTGCGTGCGTCTGTGTACATATATCCGTGTTAGAGAAAATCCAGATAGGCAAATTAGAAAGTATTCCTTCCTTGTGCTTTCTTTCTCTTGCCTAATTTTTTACACAACCATTCACAGATAAACATTTTGTGCAAATATAAAGCACACATTAAAGAAAAAGTTACTTCATGGTGTGTGTGTGTGTTACCATTCAATTGGCGTGTAAATGTCTCTAGATCCATTCATCCAAAATCCATACTTGCCTGCGTGCGTGCGTACGTGCATTCGTGCATGGTTGAGTGTATATTTGTGATATTTACTTCTGTTGTCATTATGAAGTTAAATCACCATTATGTGTGTGTATGTGTGTGTAAGGGTGTGGGCATTAAGAGAGACGTGCCACTTACACGATAATCTACGTTACACTTCACTCCTTCAAAATGTTATACAACAACACTATGTTATTGGTAGAAAGGTATACTTTTTGCTCCTCCATATTGGATGTATATATATATGAATAATGTTTCTAAAAATTTTAATAAATGTCCAGTTGTCGAGACATTTTGAAGTGAAGCTGCGTACGTGTGTATGTGTGCATTCATTTACACACTTCCATATAGGATCATGCTTGTTGGGTTTTTCCTCCAAATGAGAAGGAAGGGGATAAAACGGGATAACTTATACCCCCCGTATAAAAAAAAAACTTTGACTGCATAACTTTACCTTAATAAATAATACATATATATGTGCATATATTTTTAAATGAAATATGGGCATACATAAATTTGTATATCTGTCTTCACAGGTTATAAAATGTTTCTTAAGACAAACTATCTTCGTGTTAGTTAGTTAGTTAGTTAGTTAGTGTGCATAAAAAAATGACACAATGTAGTGCGTGTATACACCAATAAGAATTATCTGAACAATGCGTGTTCTTCTATGATTGGTTAAATAAATAACCTGAACATAAATCTCCTTTTTGGGAAGAGAATGATAATTTATTCATTCAGAGGGATAACTTCATTCATAACATTCAAAAGAGAAATTGCATAGATTTATGTAATACTAACTGACTGACTACTGCCTGGCTGACTGGAAATATGTTCTGTTTTAGATTGAACTTTAAAAGTTCATTGAAATTATATGCAAATATGACCATGTAATGTTAATAAATATAAAAGTTAAGCTCTTTCATTTGGTCACAAATATCATCATTCCAGAGAATCAGAGGAACATTATACATTTCTTTAAATAATTCCTTTTTGTAAAGGTTCACATAAAATTGAATATTTATTTTATTAAAACGAAGAAACGAATGGCGCTATTTTTATCATTATTATTATTGATCTCATTAGGTTCCTAATGGAACATAGAGTTTCAACATCACATCAACTCTTTACTCGATCCCTTGAAGTCTCTTTTAATTGACTCTAGGAGTGCCCATAAGCTTTCATATCCTATCCATATAATCTCTTCAAATGTTAGGTTGGATAAATGCCCAACTTTCAATTATTATTATTATTATATTATTGTTTCCTTTAGTCCCTAGAGAAACATAGGGCTTCAGCCAAACGTCTCCATTGCCTTCGGTTCTCTGCTAACGTTTTTACCTGGCTCCACGTCTGCCCCCACATGCTATCACCACCTCTTCACATGACCTCCTCCATGTCACCGTCACATTGACGACCACCTCACCTCTTCACATTCAGATTCCACCAGAGTGATGAACTGGCGTATGATGTCACTTGATGATTTGTTTTCTCAGAGTATGGCCAACCCACCTACCTCCATTTCTTCCTGTATATTTGTAGAATAATCGGTTCCTGCTGGCTTGGTTCGTTCATTGCCAGAGATCCCTGTTGCTGATCTTTTCTCGCCGGCCATGTGATTTTGAGCGAAGACAGCTGTTGATGAAGGTCTGTTGTTTGTTTCAGGTGCTCTTGATGATGCTCCAAGTCACTGATCCGTACAGTAAGTAGCACTGACTTCACATTGCAGTTGAAAATACGAGTCTTATTTCTCATACTGAGTGCTGTTGACCTCCACACAGACTTGAGAGTTATGAAAGCTTGTCTTGCTTTCCCGATCCTCGCTTTGATATTCTCTTCAATTCCGTCCCCCAGTAGATGAAATGACGCTTCTCAGGTAGGTAGGTAAAGGATGCTGCTTCTTTCAGATTCCTCCCATTTATGCTGATTGTTGTCTATTGTTGTTGCTGCTGCTGTTAGTCAGGAATCTTCGTCACCTTTGTCTTCTCTATGTTCACCTGAAGCCCTCCATATCTTTGATGGTTCTTCTTCTTCTGCCAACCTGTTGCTTTTCATTTGCATATCTTCCAGTCCGTGGGAAACGGACACATATATCATTATCGGAGTATTCCAAATCCTCCAAAATTTTTGCATGGGTGCATTTTATGCCTGTCTCCTCGTTGCCCACCACTGTCTCTCACATTATCCAGTCTACCACAATCAGAAAAATCATTGGAGATAGTAGGCAGCCTTCCGTGTATTACTCCTGTCTTCCCTTCGAAGGATTTCGTGAGTATCCCGTTGTGGATTACTTAGCATGCCGCATTATCGTAGAACTGTTGGATGAGGTGTACAATTGTCGGTGGCACCCCGTAGTAGCGAAGTAGTTGCCAAATGACCTCTCGATACACACTGTCGAAGGCCTTCTCAAAGTCAATACAGTTGAGTGAGGCAGGGAGCTGACTACAATTCCAAGCTCTGTTCAATGATAATATGTAGCTTTGCGATTTGATCGATGTATGACTAGTTCCTTTTGAATCCAGCCTGTTTTGGCCGAAGCTATTCATCCAGTTTGGCATTTTGATTCTGTCCAGGATGATGCGAATTAGGATTTTCCGCAGGATGAACAGGAGCAAAATTCCTCTCCAGTTCTTACACTGACTTATGTCGCCTCTCTTTGACAGTTTGAATAAATAGCCTTTCTTCCAATCACCAGGTACCTTGACCTCTTTCCACACCTTTTCAAGAAGTGATGTAATCAGGTCCCCTGATGTCTCTCGATCCATTTTCAGTGCTCCCGCTAAAATTCCGTATGGTCCTGCTGCTTTTCCAGATTTTAGCATCTTTAAGAATTCAAAACATTTATTTATTTTATTTGAGTGTGTTTGTGGAAGCAAATACATACATATGTCGTACGGAAAGGCGATTGTCTACTCGCATCATGGAGCATTTGCCAAAATGGTTGAAAACAGCTTAGTGCAAAGTGTCAAAATCCCCAATGACAAAACATCTTGTGGATTACGGACATGATATCGACGCGGTCAAGTCATTCACTGTTATTGTCAGCAAACAAAGAAACAAGAAGATGCTTGCAATTGCAGAGGCTTGTGCAATTCGAGTTTACAAACTAGGTCTCTGTGTACAAAAGGAGATGGTCGTGACTTTGAATCTACCATGGTGATGCGTTTTACTTATTATTCTATCTCTTACTATTATTATTCTTGATTCATTTAAAACTATCCTTTATCAGTAGGATTATCTTAACTCACTTCAACACTATTAGTATTATTATAACTATTACTATTGATATTAGTCTCTTTGCAATTCTTGTTATATTCTCTAATGTCCAATTGTTTGTCTAAGTGATGCAATTGAAGCGTAGTGCAATTTATCTTAATTTCATCTCTCATACTCTCTCTCTCTCTCGCCTTATCTATTTGAACATGACCTGAAAACATTCGCACCTGTCTTTCTGCATGACAAATTCAATGTGGTTTGTTTACTTATCAGTCTTATATCTCACAATGTAATTTCAAAAGTATATATATCCGTGTATGTAGAGTATTCAGCTGACGAATTCTACTGAAATTTGATGAATTCATCAAATCCTGCTTTATTAACCTTTATTGCTTGTTTGGCATCTTGATTGCCTTCAGGATTTCTGTTTTTGTCCACCTGTCAATTGGAAACTTTTAATTAACTTGTTACATTAGGAGAACAATAAGAAAGGTTAATCCTCTGAACATGTACCAAAACGTTTACGTCTCAAGGGAACAAATGCTCTGAACAGTGCTCTCACCAGACATCTGGATGATATGTACCATCAGATAGACACCAGGAAGTCCTTCAAGCTTTTTCTTACACAGCACAACTCAACTCTCCTCGAATTCGCCGAAACAATCGCCATTAAATAATTAACAACTGATTTATGTGTTCAGATAGATCCAATTATTAGTCCGTCTTTGACTTCATAATTCAACATCTA